TTATCACGGGGGCATTCGAGTCCGCTCCGACCAGCGGCGGGCACGCTGCACCTGCATCGCTTCCATTTCTTCGGATCATGCGTTCAACTTGCTCCTGCCAACGATCTTCGTAGGGAATACGCACCAGTTTGATTTAAGTTTCACGCGCGCGGCCAGGGCCAGATTTGACAGCCTCTTTGTCTGGAGAGAACGCTCGGCTTGGATGACACACCAGCTGATGCAGAGATATCTTGAGGTGCTAGCTGCTTTGCCGCGTGACAAGCCGCTGATACTGCTGTGTGACATGTGCCCTTCTCACTTGGGTTTGGACATTTTCACGTTCGCCCAAGCGCGGGGGGTTCGCACGGTCATGGTGCCGACCCATCTCACGTGCCTGTTACAGCCATTAGACGTTTGCGTCTTTCGATCTTTCCGGTGTGCTATCGAAAGACGGTGGAATGAAGCCCGCAGCAGGGCCCCGCAAGGTGAGTTGTCCAAGCTCGCCTGGCTGGAAGTGGTGGCTGGAGCCGTGCAGGCCGTGCTGCGTGAGAAGGAGTGGCGCCGTGCGTTTCTCACCACCGGCATCATGGAGAAGCAAGAGCATGTTGCCCGAAAATTGTTGCAGGCTTTGGGGTGGAAGCAGCTACCTGTGATAGCTCCTGGTCCACCAAGCTGTGGGCAAGCCTGCCAAATGTTTCCAAACCGACGGCTCTCTTTCAATGTCTCTGCCGTTGTCGAGTGGTCTGACATGCATTCGGTTCCAGCCGAGAATGTGCGAAGCCTGGACTGAAGGAAAATGAAGTCCGCAGTTACTTTGTAATGTGCATTTTGCAGGAGTTCTGCCAGCAATGTGATTTAGTGTTACTGGTTCTGTGGCCTTCTTTGGCCCACACATGGGTACCCTCGGTGTCCTGAATCCGGCCTGCGAGGAAATGTTTTTTCCCGGAAGCATTGCGAAGGGTTCTTCTTCTAAAAGCGGCTGCCAACTTCACCTGCCAACTTCTCATGCCAACTTGTCGAGAGTTACTTCACCTGCCAACTTCTCATGCCAACTTGTCGAGAGTTACTTCACCTGCCAACTTCTCACGCCAACTTGTCGAGAGTTACTTCACCTGCCTACTTCTCATGTCAACTTTTTGAGAGTTACTTCACCTGCCAACTTCTCATGCCAACTTGTCGAGAGTTACTTCACCTGCCTACTTCTCATGTCAACTTTTCGGCTGTTATCTCATTCTACTAAAAGCACAAGCTAATTTGTCGGGTGTTACTTCACTATCCTAAAAACACAAGCTAACTTTTCTGTTCTACCTTCACTTCTCGACTCTTAATTCTTCTTCTTTTTATGGCGGGGGTAGGCCCGACGGGAGCTTACGAAACGCACCCCTCTGCGGAGATCGTGCGTTTCGAAGCGCTCTCGCTGTGGCCCCGTGCGAATTTGTCTTGAGCCCGATGAACCCTCTGCGGAGATCGTGCGTGTCGAAGCGCTCTCGCTGCGGCGCCGTGCGAATTTGTCTTGAGCGCGGCGAACCCTCTGCGGAGATCGTGCGTGTCGAAGCGCTCTCGCTGTGGCGCCGTGCGAATTTGTCTTGACCTGGGCGAACCCTCTGCGGAGATCGTGCGTGTCGAAGCGCTCTCGCTGTGGCGCCGTGCGAATTTGTCTTGACCTTGGCGAACCCTCTGCGGAGATCCTGCGTGTCGAAGCGCTCTCGCTGTGGCCGTGCGAATTTGTCTTGACCTTGGCGAACCCTCTGCGGAGATCGTGCGTGTCGAAGCGCTCTCGCTGTGGCGCCGTGCGAATTTGTCTTGACCTTGGCGAACCCTCTGCGGAGATCGGGCGTGTCGAAGCGCTCTCGCTGTGGCGCCGTGCGAATTTGTCTTGACCTTGGCGAACCCTCTGCGGAGATCCTGCGTGTCGGATCGCTCTCGCTGTGGCGCCGTGCGCATCTGTCTTGAGCCCGACGAACCCTCTGCGGAGATCGTGCGTGTCGAAGCGCTCTCGCTGTGGCGCCGTGCGATTTTCTTGCTCGCGAAACGGCTTGTGGAAGTTGTCTCGTGGTGCGCGCGCCTGCTTTCGCAATCCCGCGGTCCCGGGTTCGATTCCCCCCTGGTCCGCGGCAGCTCCGGCTTGAAAATCGCAGCTTTTAAGTACAAACGTAGTACGCGGAGCGTGCTCCTGCAGCTCCGGCTGGAAAATCGCAACTTTTAAGTACAGACGTAGTACGCGGAGGCTGCTGCAGCTCCGGCTGGAAAATCGCACTTTTTAAGTACAGACGTAGTTCGCGGAGCGTGCTCCCGCAGCTCCGGCTGGAAAATCGCAACTTTTAGATACAAATGGCTGGAAAATCGCAACTGTAAATTGCAAATGTAGCACGCGGAGCGCCTCCGCCGCTCCAGCTTTTTGAGGGTTAATTACTTCACCTGCCAGTGTCTCATGCCGAAACTTCGAGAATTACTTCACCTGCCAGCTTCTCATGCCACCTTTTCGAGAGTTACTTCACCTGCCAACTTCTCGTGCCAACTTTTCGAGGAGTTACTTCACCTGCGAGCTTATCATGCCAACTTTTCGAGAGTTACTACACCTGCGAGCTTCTCATGCCAACTTTTCGAGAATTACTTTACCTTCCAACTTCTCATGCCAACTTTTCGAGAAATACTTTACCTGCCAACCTCTCGTGGCAACTTCACCTGCCAACTTTTCGAGAATTACTTCACCTGCCAACTTCTCATGCCAACTTTTCGAGAAATACTTTATCTGCCAACCTCTCGTGGCAACTTTTCCCAGCTTCTCATGCCAACTTTTCGAGAGGTACTTCACCTGCCAACATCGCCTGCCAACTTTTCGAGAGTTACTTCGCCTGCCAACTTCTCGCGCCAACTTTTCGAGAATTACTTCGCCTGCCAACTTCTCATGCTCACTTTTCGAAAGTTACTTCACCTGCCGGCTTCTCACGCCAACTTTTCGAGAGTTACTTCACGCGCCATCTTCTCGTGCCAACTTTTCGAGAATTACTTCACCTGCCAGCTTCTCACGCCAACTTTTCGAGAGTTACTTCACCTGCCAACTTCTCATGCCAACTCTTTGAGATTTATTTCACCTGCCAACTTCTCATGCCAACTTTTCTCTTGAGTTACTTCGCCTGCCAACTTCTCATGTCAACTTTGCGAGAATTACTTCACCCGCCAACTTTGCCAGCCAACTATTCGAGAGTTACTTAACCTGCCAGCTTCTCATGCCAACTTTTTGAGAATTGCTTCGCCTGCCAACTCCTCATGCTAACTTTGCGAGAGTTACCTCACCTGCATCAACTTGCCTCTATGCTTCCGGGCCACTCGTCGTCTAGTTTTCACCCCTTTTTTTGGGGGGGCGACAGTTTGAAGACTCCAAGACTCCAGACTGCTTCACGCGTTGTGCCGTCAAACCACAACACTTTTTTGGCGCTTGCTGAAAAAAACCGGCCTGCTTGTGCGTGGCAGGTGCTCAAGGCCGAATTGGAAGAGTTGCGGCAGCAGCGGGCCCACTTGCGACAGCAAATCAAGGTGAACCGTGCGCAAACCAAGGACGCCAACCGACGAAAGAAGAAGTTGTTGAAAGCTGCGCGGCAGCTGAATGTGGAGGACCTGAAGAGCTTGGTTGCGCTAAAAGCAGCGGACTGAAACAATTTTTTGTGTCGCCCTACAGTCGCTCCAAAGGAGCTGTCCGATGTTGCCTTCGGAAATGCTGTAGGGGTTGCTCGCACTACAACCCTTGTGGTGGTGACGTAGCTGTCAGCAGCGCAGCATCGTCGCTCTCCTCGGAGCCGTGGAAGCATGGTCGCTCATTTTGGGCATGCCAACGGGGTTGGACGGTCACTGAATTGAAGGTTTCCCTTACATGTTGATTTGGTTTCAGACATTTTCTTGGTCTATCCATTTTTCTGGGAAATGAAAAAGGGGAGTTTTACATATCTTCGCGATAACCGTCTACCCATTTGTCCAGGTAACGCGCACAGACACATCTGTCATGTTGAACACGCCTGCGTGTTGAGACACTCTTGGATATCGTTTCTTTTGTTTGCCGGATTTGGTTAACCACTGATTTCTTTTTCGATATGGATCGCGCAGTGATTAACCGATGGGCCCGCATCTAACAAGGAACTTTCAGAGTTTGTTGACAAATTTGATTCGTTTTTGACAGGATTTTGTTTGTCTCTGGTGTTTTTGAGCACATATTTTTGCGAAGCAGGTGTTAGAGAGTGGTTGTCAGACATGGTGCTGACCAACGCAATGCGCCAAACAGACCCCAAGGAATTTTGAGAGTTTGTTGACAAATTTCAGTTTTGGCGTTTTTGAGCACAGATTTTACGAAGCAAGTGTCAGAGAGAGTGGTTGTCAGACATAGTGCTTGTTGAACAAGCCCCATGTCTCTGACAACCACTGGGCCCGCAGAGCCCGACAAACATTGACCAACGCAATGCGCCAAACAGACCCCAAGCAATTTTGAGAGTTTGTTGGCCAATTTGATTTTTGGCGTTTTTGAGCACAGATTTTACGAAGCAAGTGTCACAGAGTGGTTGTCAGACATAGTGCTTGTTGAACAAGCCCCATGTCTCTGACAACCACTGGGCCCACAGAGCCCCACAAACATTGACCAACGCAATGCGCCAAACAGACCCCAAGCCATTTTTGAGAGTTTGTTGACCAATTGGTTTTGGGCGTTTTTGAGCACAGATTGTACGAAGCAAGTGTCAGAGTGGTTGTCAGACATGGTGCTTGTTGAAATTTTTTTGGCATTTATGCCCACAGATTTTACGAAGCGAGTGTCAGAGAGTGGTTGTCAGACATGGTGCTTGTTGAACAAGCCCCAGGTCTCTGACAACCACTGGGCCAACAGAGCCCCACGAACACCACAGACACCAGATAACTGGGAACCGGCTGCCTGGCAACAATCTTTGAGATGTGGGGCGAGTGGAACTGTTCGAAAGCAGTTGGTCCCAGTGTTTTTTGTTGGGGTCTGTGGGCCCATTGGCAGTCACAAATGTTGTGTGAGCCCCTCGGTCACCAAAGAGTCTCACGAAACATTGTGTCTCATTAGGGGTCTCTTGGCTCCGTTGTTTGTGTCACAGACCCCCACAGACACCAGATAGCTGGCAACAATCTTTGAGATGTGGGGGGAGTGGAACTGTTCGAAAGCAGTTGGTCCCAGTGTTTTTTGTTGGGGTCTGTGGGCCCATTGGCAGTCACAATTGTTGTGTGAGCCCCTTGGTCACCAAAGAGTCTCACGAAACATTGTGTCTCAGTGACTGGCTGTTTTTGGGGGTCTCTTGGCTCCGTTGTTTGTGTCACAGACCCCCACAGACACCAGATAGCTGGGAACCGGCTGCCTGGCAACAAGCTTTGGGAGCAGTTGGTCCCAGTGTTTTTTGTTGGGGTCTGTGGGCCCATTGGCAGTCACAAATGTTGTGTGAGCCCCTCGGTCACCAAAGAGTCTCACGAAACATTGTGTCTCATTAGGGGTCTCTTGGCTCCGTTGTTTGTGTCACAGACCCCCACAGCACCAGATAGCTTGGGGCAACAATCTTTGAGATGTGGGGGGTGTGGAATGTTCGAAAGCAGTGGGATCCCAGTTTTTTTTGGTGTTTTTGGTTGGGGTCTGTGGGGGGGGCCCCCCCCCGGGGTTGGGGGTGTGGGGGCGGGCCCCCCCCCGCCCCCCCCCCCCCGGGTGGGGGAGGGCCCATTGGCAGTCACAATTGTTGTGTGAGCCCCTCGGTCACCACAGAGTCTCACGAAACATTGTGTCTCAGCGACTGGCTGTTTTTAGGGGTCTCTGGGCTCCGTTGTTTGTGTCACAGACCCCCACAGACACCAGATAGCTGGGAACCGGCTGCCTGGCAACAATCTTTGGGATGTGGGGCGAGTGGAACTGTTCGAAAGCAGTTGGTAGCAGTATTTTTTGTTGGGGTCTGTGGGCCCATTGGCAGTCACAATTGTTGTGTGAGCCCCTTGGTCACCACAGGGTCTCTCGAAACATTGTGTCTCAGAGACTGGCTGCTTTTAGGGTCTCTGGGTTCCGTGTTTGCATGGGGTTGCAGGGCTTGTGAACTAGCATTGTGGGTCGCCTTTCCTCTACACCCCCCCCCCCCATACAATGGCCCGTTCCATTCCTTGCACCCGGGGTCCATTCCTTGCATCCGGGGACTGGGGGGGATTTTATTTTGTATTTCTCAAACGCCGGAAAAGGCATCCGGGCCCTTTTTTGGGGGAGTTTTGCCATCCGGGGCAAAGTCGGGCACTGGGTTTCGCGCATCCGCGTGTGCATCCGGGCTCATCCGGGCCGCTCTGTCCGGCCGTTTTGTAGCTTGCTCAACCTTCCTGGTTTCGCTCTGTGCTTCGGTCCGCTTTTGCAGAGAGCCATGTTGGTGGCGCACGAAGCGGCGCCAGAAGATTTAGAAGCAGCTCTCGAGACTTTGATGTTGGAGGTCGAAGGCGCCTTGCGAGACGAAGTTTTGTTTGCGGAGGCCACGCCACGTCCATTGCCAATCCAAGCCTTTGATGTTGCTGGGGCGCCGCCCCGACGAAGGCGCCGCATTGATTGGGCCAGCAAGGCCCCGCCTTGGACATTGCCTTCTGGAGCTGATGGTTTCGTAGCCGCGTTGTCACATCGTGAGCGATCCGCCCTGCGGGACCAGTGGTGCATCCGGCTGTTGCGGGAGTCGCCAGACTTAAAGCAGAATGGGTACAATGCTGGTTTGGCCCACGCCAAGCAGTTGTGGGCATCCATGTCACCAGAGCACACTGTTGGCTGGCTAGCGCACCTGACAGACAGCGCTTTTCCAGCGCCACCTTTGCCATGTTTGTCAAACAGCCAGCGAACGCGTTGCGACCCAGTTTCTCCTGCGGCAGCCGGTGTGTCCGATGATGGGAAGGATGAACGTCTCCATGGTTACTTGCTCACATACAATGGTGCGTGGGGCGCGCAAGATCCAGACGCTGCTGCTTTGGCCCAGATGCAAGGCTCCGAAGGTGAGTTGGTAGCTGCTGTCGAAGCTTCGACCTTTTACCAAGACTTGTGGCATGCGTTTGTTGCCCATATTTACACTGTTGCGGAAGGGCAGGGCTGGGTGCATGTGTCATGCAAGATGGAATTGAGTTTGAAGAGAAGCAAGCGACACAATTTGGTGCATTTCCACGTGGCAGTTTCTACCCCAGACAAAGCCTTGCCAGTTCGCCGTTGCCCTTATGCCGTCTTCGGAGGGTTCTCTGTATAGCATTCTGGCCTCGGATTCTGATTGGCGAACTCGTTGATTGTGTTCGCTTTTTTTTTGGGTTTTTTTTTCTCTGTTATTCTATGATTTGTTTTCTTTTTTCTTGTTTTTATTGTCTTTTTTTTTTGTTTTTTTGGTTTTTTTGTTTTTTGTTGTTTATTTTTTTTTTTTTTGGGCGTTTCGGGGCTCCTGCCCGCATGTGCGTGGGACCAAAGGTCGCGGCAAAGCTCTTCAGCGTCAGCTGGACGCAGCCCATTATTATGTACAGGCCCCGAAATATGGATCGGTCTTCTGTCAATGCAATTATGCTCGGTTCCAGGACTTTGTTGTGGACGCTTCTTCCATCATGACCTTGTGGCGTTTCTACAAGCTTGCTGATGACGTTGCCGTTCAAGAATTGTTGCAGGGCCGGGTCCGAGGCATCCGCAATCACATGGCCGAGAGTTCTTTTGTGCAGGAGCAAGTTAAGCAGCGCCGCGACACGGCCCTGCGGGAGGTGTTGGATGTGCGCTTGGCGCAGTTCAGAAAGCCTCAGCGCTGTTTGCAAGCTGTTACTGATTGCATTATACACTTCTGGGTTTGGCTCTCGTTCGAGATTTCCTTTCCTGATCCTGCGCGGTCCTTCGCAATATGGAAAAACATCCTTCGCTGTGTCTCTCTTTGGGCCAGCTGAAACACTTGTGGTGTCGTGCCAAAATGCGCAGCAGCCGAACCTCACGCAATTTCAGCGATCGCGCCACAAGTGCCTGGTGTTCGATGAGTGTGAGCCGGAGCTGGTGTTGCAGAATCGGCAGTTGTTTCAAGCGGGTGCGACGCCTGTCATGCTTGGCCAGTCGCCGACGCAGCAGCACGCGTACCAGGTGTTTGTCTACGCCGTGCCCATGGTGATCTGTACCAATGTCTGGTCACGTGACGCTGACCCTTGGCTTGATGCAAATTCAACGTACATTCATGTACCGCTGCAGCAGAGTGGCAGGGGTGTCTAGCTTCAGCCTTCGGGCTAGGTTGTTCCATTACCCCTTCTTCAATTAGTGGTGGCGGCGTCAGTGCCGATACCGACCTTTCTTGGCTTCGTTTCTGGGGTTGGCTTGGCCCCCGTCGGTTTTGGGGTTGGTTTGGCCCCCTTCATTTTTTGGGGTTGGGTTGCCCCCCTTCAGTTTTTGGGGTTGGCTTGGCCCCCTTCAGTTTTTGGGGTTGGTTTGGCCCCCTTCGTTTTTTGGGGTTGGCTTGCCCCAGTTTGGGGTCTCCAGTAGTGCATGTGTGACGCATTGGAATGGCGGTGGTACACTGCGCTGCTCACTGCGTGGCTTGCTCAAGCCGTCAATGAGCTCATGGTGCAAAAATGCAACATGTTGAGTTTCTAATATTCCGTTCATCGGTCGGAGTCAGCTTCCTCCAGTGGCTAATAGCCCT